CGAAGAGTCAAACAGACCCCAATGCTCCTCCATGGGAGAAAGCGGGTCTATCTGAGGACGTGTGGAGAGATCGGTGGGCACGGCAAGCTTGTATCAAGTGTGGCCAATATGGTCATAGCATGTACAAGTGCCGCAACAGGAAGGTCACCGAGAAGATCCCGCCCACTATGGGGCCGGCGGTAGGATCCTCTCAACCCGTTGGTAGCAACATTGCCAGTGCTTCAGGCAGTGCTCCGGGAAACACGTCGGGCCAGTAGGAGTAGTAGCTGTTCCTACTAGGGTCGCGATGGTGGATACACCCTTACCTTCGCGAGAAATGGCCCAAGCTACAGACTCTTCAGTCATCCCGCAAGCACATTCAGACCCATCGACCCTCTGTTCGATGAATGCGTTTGAATCCTTAGAGGAGCTAGACGATGAGTGGTCTAGATCAGACCCACTAGCTTCTTGGATGGCGTTAGTCAAAGCCCCTAGGAGTGAAATGTTTGTCAGCGAGGTAGTCATAGGAGGCCGCAAGGCCGGGGCCTATTACGACACTTTCTCGACTAGGAACTTTATTAGCCGCGCGTGCGTTGAGAGGCTGCGCTTACAGGGGCAAGTGTAGCGCCTGAGTCGACCTGTGGAATCAACCTGCGCCAACAAACAGCGCATGGTAGTCCATGACTACCTAAAAGACATAGAATGTCTTTTCCCGTACGCGGGAGGGGAATTGAGGCATCATGTTTCATTCCTGGTTAGCGACGAGCTCCCCATGGACATGCTATTAGGTATGTACTACCGTGGCACAGCCCCAGTTTGACCGGGACCGAAAGGTGGTCAAACACACTTTGCCAAACGAGGGAACCGCCAGATTACACAAGTTTAAGGCTAGTAGTCTGATCGATTCCCACGGATGCTTGTGTGCGGCCGCATTCTACAATTATTATAAGCAAAATCCGGAGGAGGGGATGTATCTGGTTTACGTCTCTGCTGCAGGCGAGCCGGTAAAAATGCCGCCAGAGATAGAGGGAGTAGTTGCCAAGTACCCAGATCTATTTGAGGAGCCTACAGGGGTTGTTGAGAGGGAGGTCGTCCACGCGATAGAGATTATCCCAGAGTCTAGTATTCCGAAGGGTAGGATCTATCGGATGTCTCGAGGCGAGCTTGATGAGCTTCGCCGCCAACTCAAGGAACTCATAGAGAAGGGTTGGATCCGGCCGAGTGTCTATCCTTACGGATCTCCAGTACAGTTCATACCTAAGAAGAAGGAGGACACTCTCAGGATGTGCATTGACTATAGGGGCCTCAATGCCATCACTGTGAAGAACAGAGAGCCCCTACCGCGCATCGATGATCTGTTAGATAGAGTGCAAGGGTGTCGGTACTTCAGTAACATAGATCTGAAGTCCGGGTACCATCAGATTGCAATCTGGCCCGAGGATCAACACAAAACCGCATTTCAGATCAGGTACGGTCTGTACGAGTTTGTGGTGATGCCTTTTGGCCTTTGCAATGCTCCTGGCMCCTTTCAGCACGCTATGAATCGGATATTCCATGACTACTTGGATAAGTTTGTCGTCGTGTACCTCGATGACATACTTATTTTTAGTAAGACTGTCGAGGAGCACGTAGCACACTTAGACAAAGTTCTCAGTCTCCTGCGACAGCACAAGTTCAAGATCAACGGTGAAAAGTGCGAGTTTGGCCGCACCCGTATTTTGTACTTCGGTCATGAGATCTCCGCGGAAGGGCTGAAGCCCGATGACGCGAAGGTGGCCAACATTCGTGATTGGCCACGACCTCAGTCTGTGACTGAGATGAGATCTTTCTTAGGAATGACAGGCTACTACCGGACTTTTGTAAAGAACTATAGCATTGTGGCCGCTCCTTTGACTGATCTGACCCGCCTTGACACCCCGTGGGAGTGGACAGATGAGTGCGAGGCTGCTTTCAGACATCTGAAGCATGCATTGACGCACTATGAAGTCTTGAAGCTACCCAATCCTGATAAGCCATTTATAGTAACCACGGAGGCTAGCCAATATGGCATTGGCGCCGTGCTTGCGCAGCAGGAGGGGCCAAAGTTGAGGCCAGTTGAGTACATGTCTAAGAAAATGCCGTCTCAGAAGTTGGCTAAGTCCACTTATGAGAAGGAACTCTATGCGGTGTACAAGGCTCTCACCCATTGGAGGCACTATCTCCTTGGGAGGTTCTTCATCCTCAGAACTGATCATCAGACCCTGAAATGGATGAGAACCCAACCGGTATTCTCTGACGCTCTCAAGCGTTGGATCGAAGTCATTGAGCAATATGACTTTGACCCTCAGTATCTGAAAGGGGAGTATAACAAGGTTGCTGACGCTCTGTCGCGCAGACCAGACTTCTCAAGTGCGCTGATTACTGAGTTCAGTCTCACGGACAATGTTACTCAATCCTTGGTGGAAGCCTATCGCGAGGACCAGTTTATGTCTGAGATCATACGCAGACTTGAGGCGAAGGACAAGAAGACGTCCGCCGAGTTTGAGTTGGTTAATGCGAGGACGTTTATGTCTGAGATCATACGCAGACTTGAGGCGAAGGACAAGAAGACGTCCGCCGAGTTTGAGTTGGTTAATGGCTTGCTGTTCCTTGAGAAGGCAGGGAATAAACGATTGTGTGTTCCCARTAGTGAGTCTTTGCGTAGTTTGTTTCTAGGTGAGTGTCATGATGCCACCGGTCATTTCGGGTATAAGAAGACCGCAACCAACTTGCTGCAGCGATTCTGGTGGCCCACGATGATGCGAGATGCACAACTGTATGTGGAGACTTGTCAAGTTTGTCAACGAGACAAGCCCCGTACTCAGGCTCCTCTTGGGCTGCTCAAGCCCCTTCCGATTCCGGAAAGGCCGGGTGAAAGCTTGTCCATGGACTTCATGGATACGCTGGTCACCAGCAAGAGTGGGATGAGGCAGATCTTCGTCATTGTGGATAGGTTTAACAAGTATGCTAGGTTAATAGCCATGTCGAAAACAGCGAAGACCGAGTATGTAATCAGGCTGTTCAAAGAGAACTGGGTGAGGGATTTTGGATTGCCTAAGTCTATTGTAAGTGACAGGGATGTCAGATTTACAAGTGAATTATGGAAGGCCACTGCAGCTGAACAAGGAACTCAACTGCAAATGACTTCTGGAAACCATCCAGAAGCAAACGGCCAGGCTGAACAGATGAACCGCGCTGTCCAACACCTGTTGAGGCA